TTTGGTCCTGGTTGTTATTTGTGGTTTTAAGGAACAAGTTAGTGTGAAATGACTACAACAATTCTGCAATTGTTGTAAGACAATTGTTGTAAGCAAAACAAAGAAAAATCAATATAGTAGAGCATCAGTCTGGGACTAATTATTGATATTTTAGAACAGTCTGCTCAAAATGTCCTGTTTTCAGGAAATTAAAGAATTATATCAAGTATTACCAATGACCACGAATAAAATGAAAAGTAAAGTATAGATACTTCCAAGTAGATACTATTTAATGAGTGAGAGGAGCAGGAAGCATTCCACCTTAGGGAATAACTTGTATTAGTAGATAATTTGCATTATTAAGATAGCGTATTTATTTTATCTACTCTGTATTCCAAGTCTTTGTATTAAAATAGCATATTTCAATAGTTTTGTATTCATACTACAACAACAGAATGCCCACAGCTCTTAAATCAACAGAGTTCCTCTGACATCAAATGGGCACAGGACTGCACCTACTCTATATTCTGTCCCATTGTTATTTGAAATTAAGAACAGCTCTATCACACATGATTAAAAAGTAAGACTATATTTTCTTTCAAGTAAAAAAAAACAAAACAGTATAGTTTGTTTTTTATTTCATTGCCATAAAGATCAGCTCCTCACATAGTATGCTAAAGTTCCACTTTAGCCTTCACCAGAGTAAAGCTGATTTGATTCCACTGAAGATTGCTGAGTTAGTCTGATTTCTATTTGCATGCTTACACACTAATATATGTTTACACAGTGCATTTCTGAGAGGAGCTTTTCCCTGAGTATTAACATTCCTACTATTAGTTTTCAACACAACACCAATCTGAATACACAAGGATGAGTATTTGTGTAATTAGAAACATATTCTCCCCTCCCACTAAGTTTCTTACTAGACTTTGCTAAACATTTTTACTATAAAATCAAAATTTGGAAGTTAAACTCCCAGAAGATGGCTTTTCAAATTCTATTGAAAAAAAAAAATAAATAACCTAACCAATTTAAATAGTATACAGATAGGTTTTTGTTTGTTTGTTTGTTTTTTCTTATAGGTAAAGAATTAAAGATAAATAAATTTTCTTCCTTTTATTCAAAATGGTTAATGAGAAGAGTGCAGAATCAAGGCATTATGAGATTGTCACTCTGAGCATTTCTGTGTTGAAGATTTCAGAGCCCAAACAAAAAATAAACAATGTTCATGTTACTAAAGCAAACAACTGTTTTCTGAGGTACTATGCATACTACAAAAGCAACCAGGATTTGGTTAAGACAATAGAAAAAAATAATAAACTATTCAAAGTAGTTAGAAAATGTGTATGTTTAACTACATGATAGATTCTCTTTCCCCAAAACACAAATGTTTTGAAAGAGAATATTACAGGCACGTAACAAAGTCTAGTTTCAAAAACACAATGGTACCAAACAATTTTATTATTATTTCATAAAAATTCTAAGTAGATACTGGCTGATGTTTTGACATTGCAGAAGGCAAGCAAAAGTCATAACCTACAGTTTTCTGTTTCACATTGGACTAGACTTTATAAGATATTAGTAACTAATCTAGGATAGTAACAATTGAAGCAGGATAAAACCAAAATGTTTCTTTTTTTATTATTTTATTTGAAAATAGAGTGATTATAAATACATTCTTTTGATATTTCCTACCCAACTCTTTGGATGCAACCAGTAAAGAAATCAACCCACAAAACAAGCAAACAAAAATACCCAACAACAACAAAAACAAAACAAAAACAAACAAAAAAAACCCTCACTGTGTTCATTTCATACAATATCAATATACAAATCATGCAAAAGATATAATAGACATTATACTACCATCAAGTTCTGAATGGGTTCTGTTGATTCTGACACATATCTTAACATTATTTATGGAGGCCATGCCTTTTATCATTTATAATGTCATTATGGCTTTTTTCAAACAAAAATCATTTTTAAAAAGATGTTATTATACTAGACTTCTATATCGCTGTCAATCTTGAACTCTAAATGCAAAATGTAACTCACAAAACGGCCTCACACTCTTGTACCATAGCAGTTGCTTTCTGATAAAATTGCACGATTTTTTTTTTTTTTTCAAGGAAATGATCACACTTTATTGATTTTGTTTAAAAATGTAAACTTCTTTATAATACAATGAACACAACAGGTTATGCTAACACCACCACTGATTTAGTTTATGTCTATGGGTCTTAACAGCCATTTTACAATCATGGCCACTCAAACCGATATGACAAACATCTGTTAGACCATATCCAAAGAGCCACTTTCCCAGAACGACTCATGTAGATCTGAATGGATGTTACACTAAAACTGCTGTACAGACGCATACACTGTTTAAAACATGGAGGAAATAAACTGGTAATAAGGTTGTCATTCAAAGTAACAGTGTCACAGAAATATAGTGTTTCGCCAACTTCTGCATTCTTTACTCACAGTATTATACCTACGTATTGCACCACAAATGTAAAACCACCAGGGACAATTTCAACAGGAAGGTCCAGACTGTGCAACCTTTATGCTGGTGAACCCACATTCAGCTGCATAATCCCAGAATGGTCAACGGACAACTTGAAGATGAAGAGCAACCACCAGTTTGTAGTTAGACAGCAGGGATCTATGCCTTATACACAGCACTTCTGCACCTGCTCTCTTAGAAGTCAACAACACAATTCCACCTAAGCAAACCCCACTCTTGGGCAGGTGCTACGTTATTAGGTCAAGAATAACAACTCCATACATGATTTAAGTTAAGTTTAAAGGCTTTACCAGACTGGGACCTCAAAAGGTCCCAAGGGAAAATCTGACCCAATGTAATGGTACAGCATAACGACTCAGTTCTTCCTGTCTTAGTGAACACAAGACCATAGGGAAAAAAAAAAAGAGAGAGAGAAAGAGAGAGAAAACATTAACTTAATTGATTCAGCTTAGGAATTTGTTAAGTGTTCTTTTAACTCAGGGCCATGCTCACTGTAAATGTATCAGCTTTACATCATTTCAGGAAATTTGCTACTTTTCATATTTTTGACATCTGATTCAACAGAAGGCTATGGGACACTACAGCCTCTGACAATACCCTGAAGTGTGTCAGAAGCCTCATGCTTTGGCAAATCCCTGTGAACACTGACACATCTTCCAAGGCTCGCAGCGCTGTGCAGGGCAGTCCCAGGATCCATTATCCTCAACCTGCCGATGGAGCCATTATGGTCTTTCAAGGCAATACGTCTTTACCAACTCCTTAATCCACAGAATCTCAACACAATGAGCTCAAATGTTCTTCTTCAAGCGTTGGCCATGTACTGTGTTACTGGGCAACTAACAACTTTTTATGCCAGAAGTGCGTATGTGCATAGTATCCATCTCCTGAAAATCCCTGTGACAGCTTGAAAGAAGTAAATTATTGTGCATGGACAGCAGCAGCTTTTTGAAAGAAATCCAGCCATTCATTAATCTGTTATCATTTTATTATCTGCAGTCATTTATATACTTCATATCATGGATAAAATAATAAAATAACCCTCTTCCTAAGTTACAAGAGCAGAAACGAATGCCTGAAAGTAGAATGTCTTTTTGTTTTGCTTTCTCTGGAATAAAGAAGCTGTGTGGTATTTTTCTTCTTTTTTTTTTTTTCTTCCATTTTTTCATTTTTTTTGGAATCTTTGTAAAAATATACTGCAGGCTGTTTGCCAAGTATCATTCCGGAATAAAAATTTTAGAGCAGTGCCATAAAGCCCTGAAATTAGCAGTTTCTAACAGAAAGAGCTGACATAGCCTTTTCCACAGTGGTACTGTTGGGTCTTGCTGTAATAATTGCTCGTTTCACATTCATGACAAACATTAGTATTTACATTCTTGTAATCTTGATTGATTTATGTATTGATTATAAAATGTGGATGAGGATTAAAAAAAAAAAAAAAAAAGAGTTCTGGAAGCAAAGGAGATAGAGGGTCTAATCCAAAGCTCTTTGAAATGAATGGAAAAATTCCTGTTCATGTCAAGGAACTTTTGTTAATCTCACAGTGCAGATTTTCTGTATGATGCTTCAGCAGTATATCTCAACCCTTATCTCAAGGTACCATCTACTAGTGAGATAAGTGGGGATTTTCCATTCTCCTGAATACTCTTTCTTCCTAGCTATTCACATTCAGCTTTCACAAAAGCAAGTTTTACTCTCTAGATATGAGATACACAATACTCTGAGCTGAGACCACTATATTTATTTTACACCTTGTTTTTAAATGGAAGTGATTTGCTATATTGTTTACTCTTCTGATCTTTTTTTTTTTTTTTTCCGACTGACAGAAGCCAGACAGGTAAGAACAGAAAATGTATGCATATACAATGGAAATATTACCTTTATCATGAATTCCTCTAAGTACATGTAGTGAAAACTACTCAGATTAAGCTGTAAAACCCTGAAAAGCAAGACAACCAGTGGCAAAATAATTGCCTGAGACACAATACTAAAAAACTAATGAATCTATTTCAAAATGCACCATTGGTACCAAATCTGAAATAAGATAATATGCTAATTTCACAAGAATAGTACAGAACAATTTTATTATTATGATACCTGATCACTTAATTCCGGATTACTCTATACATTACATCCCCCGGATTCAGTTTGGTATATTGTTCTGCTTTTATTTATATCGAATGATTAATGCATTGCGATCAGGAAAACAAGTCAGGCATATTAAATACATATTAAGGAGTACATATTTTCCTATTTAGTATACAAAGTATTTCATAAATATGAATTATGTTACAAAAATAATTTCTGCTACGCTCACACAGTAAGCATTTTGACAATTTCGGACAACCCGTTAGGGTTGCAAGTTTTTCACATAACTGAGAAGGAACTCTAGGTTTAATTGAAGATGAGTCTTACAACAGGTTCTGCATAAACAGCAAATATTTTCTTCAGATGCCACAAATATCGCAGAAGTCAAGTTGAACTGTTTTCTTTCCTTTTTTTTTTTTTTTTTTTAATGTTATGTATAGACATGTATGCTTCAAGTGGTCAAATTTATTTCACAGGTATGTAATTCATGGTATATTTTAAACAAATATTTGCACAATTTAACATTATAATTCCAGTGGTTTCAAGATGCAGGCCATAAATGTAACCAATTTACACATACTATCGAATGTTCTCTCTTTGCATGCTTGTTACTTTTCAGATAATCTTTAAACAGTGCCATTACAACACCACAAAAGGATTACTCCAGTTCCACCAACTTAAATCCACGTGCAGGATGAAGGACCCAGCTGAGGTATGAACACCAGTACCAAGTTTCTTGTGTTTGCTCTAACAAATCACAAGGAGACGATGGTTTTGCATTTAAGGTACAAAACATATATGCCTCTTGAGGTTAAATTCAGTGTAACGTGTATAAAGCATCCCTTTGGCAATAGAGTTTGCAGTATCCCTACAGGATTCCACGGGGCATGAGCTTTATGTAGTAAAATCTACTAAGGAAATTCTCCTCTAATTGACAAATCATATGCAGCTACAGTTAATCAGACACCCTCGGATACACCTGCCTCTATGCCTACCAATATAATATAGTATTTGGAAGTTAGAAGTCAACAAAAGGCACTTTCATCATTAAATAAATGTCCTCTGTAGGCAATTAGATTGCATGACCTATATTTTATTCAAAGCTGTTTGTTCTTCAAGGACTTGTAGGTAGTCAGGTGAACCTTGAAGTTTAGCTTTTAGTTCAAAATATTCACTTTTCCTTTGTTCTACTACAATTTTACTATGATTACCACCTATTAGAGATTTCTTGTTTTTTTTGTCTTGCTGTTTCTCTGGGTAACGTATTTCAAAGCCACTCACCCCTATGCTGTTGTACTCTTTTTTACTTTCGAGAAAATTTTGAATAAATACATTGGAATCCCTCCCAGGGAATAACTCATCCAGTTCATCGATTGTGCTAAGTCTTTTTCTGGAATCCACATGCAATAAATCCTTCTCCTTGTCATTCATATTTCTCAGAATGACTTTTTGCCCTGGTGGATCAGCAAACGTGAAGCCCGTTTCAGACTCCTTTAAGCCACAGGTATGACTTTTGCTCATCTGCTCAATGGTTTGAGGAATGAAGGCCTCTGCGCCTAATCCGTCTTTTTTGTTTGACTTGTGATCGTGCTTTCTTAGCTGCAGTTGCATAGTACTGCATTCTTGATTTCCAATCCCTTCATGCTTTACAGTTGGTTTCTTGTTGCGCCGAAGCACAAAAACAAGAAGACAAAAAGCAACAAACACTGTTAAAATAAGCACAACTAATATGCTTAAGATTAGGATGGACAACGGAACTGGGCCACCAGGATGACTCCTAACTGGTCCCAGTGGTGTTGTAAAAGAGACAGCGGGCACAGGACTAGTGAACAGAGCAGATGGCTTGTTTAAAAGTTTAGGACAGAGGATCTCATTTTTCAGAGACTTAAGTTCAATGTTAGCAAACTGTACAGGTGTTTCACACTTTAATTCCTTCACCACAATACCTTCGTTTAATTTTTCAAGCCACAGTTTCAAAGCAACTAAATCACAAGTGCAGTCCCATGGATTACCTTCCAAATCAATTTGCGTAAGGGATTTCAGCTGATCAAGAACGCCACTTACAGGTAAATACATGAAATGATTGTTCCTCAGATTCAGCCTGGCAAGTGGTGCCCCGGCAAAAATGTATGCTGGCAAGCTTCGCAGAAGGTTGTTGTTCAGGTAGAGCAACTGCAAGTTTGGCATCAAGTCAAAGGTGCCTGCTAAGATTTCTTTGATAACATTGTATTCCAAATATAGATATTGCAGGTTGTGGAGGCCAGCAAACATTTCTGGGCTCAGGCGCTCTATCTGATTGCCATTGAGATACAACCTCCGTAAATTTGTAAGGTTGCGGAAAACTTCTCCTCTGATCGCCGAAATCCGATTGCTGCCTAAATGGAGTAAATCCAGCCCCTCAAATTCAACGAAATCCATAGTGTCCACATCCTTAATATAATTGCCATTTACATGCAATTTCTTGGCATTTAATGGCTTTGGTAGGAGTTCAGCCATTGACTCTATATTTCTTTCTTGACAATTTACACTTAATCCCAAGTCAGAAGGATGTGTTTTGCAAACGCAGGGAACCGGGCAAGGACTTAAAGGAGGCACCCTGGTCTGATAGGATATAATTTGACTGAGGTTGCGATTAGACAGTGCTTTGCCTGCTACTATCCCCGAGATCTTCGAAGGATTTGTAGTCTTCGGTGGCTTTGTGACTAATCTGTGCACTGATGTTTGAGTGGTGTGACCATTTGGAGTGCTGTAACCAGGCTCCAGCTGAGAGGGAGGGAGAATGCGTACGTCAAAATCACTCCCTGTTCCCATGGAGCACAGCTCTTGCTTATTGGTTTCTTTCAGCAGCCTTCCATACAAGTCACTGGGTGTTTCGCAGATAGCTTCTCCAATATAGATATTATAGGGCATGTTCTCCAGCCATGCTTTCAAAGGCAACAAATCACAAGTACAATTCCAGGGATTGTCTTCCAGCTGCAATTCGACAATTCGCCCAATGTGTTCCAGAACTCCAATGTATGGAAGCTTCTGTATTCGATTCCCTCGTATATCCAGATGGGTTAGAGAAGCAAATCGAAAAATATTATCGGGAAGGAATGAAATCAGATTGTCATTAAGGATCAGGACTTTCAGCTTGTGAAGCTTATTGAAGGCTCCCCGTTCAATAAACTTGATTAAATTGTAGTCAGCTTGGAGATACTCCAAGTTCTCTATGCCCAGGAAAGTGTCAGCTCGGAGAATCTTTAATTCATTGTTGTTCAAGTGCAACTGTTTTAATGCACTAAGACCCAGAAAGGCCCCTCCCTCAATGTTCTGCAGCTTATTATTACCCAACTGCAGGGACACTGCGTGTGTAAAGTTAAGAAAGGTATTTGGATATAGAATAATTAGCAAGTTGTTTTGAAAGTTGAGGTGGTAAAAATTAGACCATGGCGGCTTAAGCTGATTTGGTCTGTAGACTGCAACCTTCTCACAGTTGACATAGAGTACATTCTCAACCGACACACAGGAGCAAACATTGCAAATTTCCACAGATATATCAGCATCTGCAGTTGTAGAAGAAACTGGAGATGACAGAACCAGAAAGAGCCACAGAAACATCTTCTTGTGATCAGCAAGCAACCTTAGGCTCCTGAACAAAGACAAAGTATCTAAAGAAGAAAGAAGGAAAGAAAAGAGAAAATGTTTTTCAGTTGTCATTGTTCCAAAAAGTCATTTGGGTTAAAAATCGTATTCCACCGAGCTACTGTACCTGCCAAGGATTATAGATAAACTACAAGCACTGAATTTAGAATAACATGAAAGATTTGAACAATCAAATACACGAGAGGTAGAATTTCAAATAGAGAATGTAAACTGCTGCAGATAAACACAAATAACTGTAAGGTCTGTCAGATATTCCTATCTGCCCTACATGACAAACATGCATAACTAACAAAGTGAAATAACCAAAGGAGATTCCAATTTTATGCATATATACTCTCGCCGATCCTGCACTGCTCATACGTTGCCATGCATTTCAGGGATATTAAACACAAACACTGATGTTACACGCGCCCAAACATCTGAGTTGGGAAAGCATAATATAGAAAAGATGAAGATGCAGGCACAGAAAGCAACGCCAGTACTCAGTGTAGGTATCTATAGCATCAACCCATACAGACTATCATCACTATAATAGTAAAATTCACTCTAGAGATACATGGGCATGCACACACCGTGCTTCTGTTACTCAGCATACCTCGTTTGAATAGATAAGTAGGAAATTGATCACAGAAATACAATGAACTATCCAGAAAATGAGAAGATCAGCCGAGGGGGACAAATAGAAGCACACAGGTATGGAAGAAGCATGCAAAGGCATTCAGCCCCATCCCCCGAAATAACAATACCCTGATTTGCAGGGTGTAAGTCGCAGTTCAACAGTCTGACACTACTGGAACCTGAGAAGAACTTTTTTTTTTTCTTTTTATGTGTGTGTGTGTGTAAAACATTATGTAATTTGCTCTCATCCTGCACTGATACAGAGGTGGCTTTCAAGAAGCCTTCACATACAGCCCATCCAGCTGAGCTGCCATTTTTCCACACAGAACTGGAGCCAGAGCATTTCAGAAGCTAATTCCCCCGCTCCCTTTAACAAATCAGTCAATAATCGATGCATTGCCCCCCCCCCCCCCTTCCCAGTGCCCAACTTGTTGTCCCTCTCACTTCTCACTGTGGGAAGCCAAAGAGTTGAAAGGAAGGAGCCAGGATGGAAGTGGAGAAAGCAGGAGTCAGCGGGAGGAAGGGAAATCGGAGAGGATGCGCTGAGGAGCCTGGAGGGGAGGGCAGAGGAGGGACATGGGAGCAAGGAAGGGAAGGAAAAAAAGGACAAGAGGAAGGGGGAAAACTGAAGGAGCAAGGAAGGGAGAGAGAAAGAGATGGCTGAAGGGGTCAAGGAGACGCCGGAGAGGAACCACGGGGAGCAGAGGGCGCGGAGCAGCTGCTGTTAATTCCCGCAGGCTCCCGGCCCGGGGGAAGCCTCATGCCCGGAGGCAGCCCCACGTCCGCACCCCTCCGCTCCATCCTCCCCTCCGTATCCCTGCCTCGCCCACGCTCCGGTCCCCTCCTCTTCCTCTGCCCCGGGGCCCGGCCGGTGCCGAGCGGGGGCACTGCGCGGCGCTGCCGGCGGGTCGCGAGCCCGGCCAGGAGTGCAGGCACTACCGCAATGTTTTGCCGCAACACGATGGCCGGAGCCGGCTCGGCTGCTGCCGGCTCCCCTCTATCGCGGCCGCCCCGTCGCCCTCTGCCTCCCGGCGGGGGAACGCAGGAGAGACCCGGGCGCTCACACACCGCGCACACTCCGGCTTGGAACGGGCACAGCGCGGCGATGCAGCCCTCGTCCCTTCCAGCCCTTCGCAACAAGGTACAGCCGCGCTTCCCCCACCCTCTCTCCGCACCTTTGCAAAGTCCAGCCCGCAGCGTATTCACACGGCAAAGATCCCGTCCCTCCAGCCCATCCCCACCTCCAGCGGTTATCCCGGCCGCAGCCCCTTCGCCGGAAGGGAAGGGAAGCGGGCAGCGCTGCGCGGAGCCGCTGGTCCGGGATTCCAAGAGGCGAGCGGAGAGGGTCCGGCAGGAAGCACTGCCGCCTCGGCTTTGCCCCTTCTCCCCCCTTTAAAATAACAGTAATGATAACAAGACGTTCGGAATAATTCAGAGCTATTAAAACGCCGAAAACAACGCAACCCCTCGCGGCCCCGTCCCCGCCCGCACTCACGCCCAGCGGGGCTGCCGCCCGCCCCCGGCAATGCTCCCGGCGGCGCTCCGCGGCGAGCTCGGCACCTTCCCTACCTCGGCGGCCGGGCTCCCCGCGGCCCCGCTCCGCTCCGCCGCTCTCCCCGCGAGGTCTCTCCTCTCCGGCAGCTCCGCGCACGCACCGAGCGCCGGGGGCAGCCGGGAGCCCGCCCGGGTGTGCCCCCCTGGCCGCGTCGGGTGCCGAAGCGCAGAACGAGGCGAAGCCCGGCGCTGCGGTACCCCGGCGGGCTCCGCCGCATGCAGCAATCGCCCCGCCGAGCCCTGCCCCGACACCGCGGTCCCCCGCACACACACGGGGAGAGGATCCCTCTGCACACAGGCGCCCGCTCCCATCGCACTGCTCTCGCCCACCCCTTGCACGCAGAGAGAGCCCCCTCCCCTTCGCCGCGCACACACGCGCACGCACCGAGCGCTGCTCGGAGAGGAAGGAGACTCCGCTCCGAGGAAGCGATCCCGCAGCCGCTCCCGCACGCTGGGAGGAGCTCCGCCGCCGTTACCTTTCCCGGAGAGAACCCCGCGGAGCTCACGCGGCAGCGGCGCGGCGGGAGGCGCCCTCCGGGGCGGTGAGAGCGGCGGGGCCCCGCTGCCGGGCCGAACGCCGCGGGGCTGCCATGGGGCGGCCGCAGCTACAAGTGCGGTCCCGGGCACAACCGCGACGGGGCCATCCCGCCCCCGTCCGCACAGCGCCGGGGTGCGCGCCGCGGCTCGGAAAAGGAAGGGAAGGGAAGGAAAGGAGCCCCCCCCCGCCCCTCCCCGGCTTTTCAGGCGGCTGCCCTCCTCCCCCGCCTTGAAACAAAAGTAGAGGTGGAAACTGAGTGGGCAGGATGGTAACATTTACTGCATTTAATGTGAATCGCAATTATGGAACAAAACCGCTGTGAGGAGACGCGAGCGATCCGGTCTTGAGACAACGGAGCTATTCGTGTGCCTCGTTCTTTGTGGCTAGGTGGAATTCCGCTTCTGCTTAGGTAACAGCTGCAGTCTGATGTAAAAATCCTCTCCTGCTATGGCATTTGTGCAAAGCAGATTCTGCTAATTAACAACTCCTATTTACATTTTCTAATATGATTTTTAAAACCCCCCAGAGACGGTGACATCTCCTTCCCAGGCAGAAGGGCCAGTTAACCAAATGACATCTCGCAAGAGGAGTTCAACTGTTTGTCCTTTACCGTGAATGCAAACGTAATTCAGGTAGAGAACTGCTTATGTATTGCCCTCATACTGCTTGTGAGTGGTAGTTCTGGGCAGTAAACACGAGGGGTGGAAAACAGCAACTGCTCTCTTCATTGGCAGAAATATGGAATACATAGCTTGCTCTGAAGGCTGGCTGCATCTAATCGAAATAATTGCAGAATGTTACTTTGCATGATGCGGATAGACTGATACCTGAAAACAAATACATCTGAGACATCAATAATTTGCATATCACAACAGAACTGAAAGTGATCTGTGATTAATATTCAGCCAATTAAAAACTGAAGTGTTTAAAATGTAAACTGCCTTAATTCTTGAGCCATTAACAAAGTAGTGTTCACATAAAAGGGAATGTGTGCATTACTTACAAGGATTTGCATATAGTGTAAGCTAAATTTCTCAAATTCTTTATTTGAGTAGACTTACATAATAGAAAACAAAAGTTTATCATAAAACTCCCTTTGGAAAACGTATGGTCTATAGGTATATTTTCAGAGGCACAGAAATGCAGGTGTAAAGATGAAGGTCCACTTTTCTTTAACCAGCAATATTAAGCTGGGTGTTAAACCACTGCCTTGCTTACTTACTAGATGAAACAGCATACAGACAATCTCAGAGGCACATCACTACTCCCACTGCCATTCCAAGCTGAATCAAAAACCAAACATGGAGCACAACAGTATGTAGGTCACTCCAAAAGTAATGCCTTTTGATTATTTCTGTGGAAACTACAACTGATACAAAGAGAACAATAGCACTATTTCATAGAGCAAATTCTCAGCTACAAAACATTTTTTTTCAACACAGTCACCACCGACAGCTGTGCATTTTCACCTGTAATGAACAAGAGCCTGCATGCCGTGCTCATAACAATCTGCACCAGCAGGGAAGACCGATGCCACTGCTGAAACACAGCACCTACCGCCTCACTGTGCTCATATCCACTGTTGGTATCCATAAACTTTCATCAAGTGTCAATGAATGTCAATGGGCACCATTTTTTCTGCATGGAGGAATTCATTTCCATCCCTTTGCTTCAGACACACTTCCATGTCAGACACCATTTTGTCAGACTGCCCCTCTGCTGCCATCTGTCACACATCAACAAAATGTCATGGGATGCTGGTGGGAAGATTCAACCTCTACTGCCATAGCACCAACATCCACCTCTGATCTCATGATCCAACACACTAAAATAAGAGGCATTACTTTTGGAGCAGTCCTCATAGATCATATTTAAACCAGGAAATGAGTAAGCATCTAAGAGAACTGAAATTGTGCCATAACTAAATAATTTTTGACGTCTCTATTATAAGAGGTTATTGGCAATGACATATGTTTATGATGTTGTAGAACTTATCTGAAAATAAAACTTAGTTACACGACTGAATTTAATTGTTCAGATTTTAGTATGTCATATTTTACTATTTACTTCTTATTTGTAGTCATGAAAGATAACTCCTCCTCCAAATCTTATTTAGGTGATTTTGGCCACTTGTCCTAACCTGCATCATGTCAGACTCACTAAGATTTAGGCTCAGAACATCAGGACAACAAACAAAACCAAAGTAAGGATAAAGTATAACATAAGCACAAGTTTAAAGTGAAGGCTGTGATCCAAGATGATGATGTGCGTAAGGAAGAATTCACTTCAGGG